CGCCAAGGTATCTCTCTACCTTAGAATTTTAATTAGTGGATAATTTAGAAGTAGATTTATCTCATTTCAACGAACATAAGTTTTGTAAGCCGAGACAGCATATGGTAGGAGCAACTTGGTGCTGACTCAGCACCCAATACATGTATATATACTCAACAGTTCATTAGACCTGGGGACAAGACAGAACATGATCACCAGGACAATACAGCCTGTTGACTACCCAGTTTTCACCTCATTTTGCTTACAAGTTTCCTAAGCGCTATCACAATATGTATGTAGCCTAGACCTTAATGGGCTATATAGCCCAAATATATTGGACTCAGGCGTGAAATGCCTTCGTCACGCGCCTTTGTTCATTCACCACGCTGAACAAATGCTTAGTCTTACGGCAGAACTTCGGCCGGAACTGAGAGCGCTAATCTCTAAGCGAACACTATATGTAGCCCCAGCAACAATTTCATAGACTCCTTAGCAGTACCGCTCTTTATAGCCTATACCTATCCTTTGGCAGCCTTGCTGCATATACCCCTTACAGACCGTAGATGGTCGGGGCTATCTACGATGACTTTAGCATTCAACACATGTTTATACGGTTCATAGTTTAGCAGACCTCATGGTCAACATGACAGTCGATAATGCAATCCGTTATCCCCCTCAAACTGCTTAGAGTTATGAGCTCGGATTTCTTTATTCTATTCCAATAAATTTTTTACTCAATCATTTTTCACCTCTTTTCGTTAAAGAGTCAATTATACAACCCATTTACCATCCTGTGAACACCTCTCCCCTCCCAACATGTCTCCAAAGCTGTCTAGCACCAACGAAGTAATTCTTCGAGACCAATCAGGCTGGAAACTTTGGATCTACGCTTTCAAAAGAAATGTAGAAGCAGGAGATGTCTGGGAGCGTATTGATCCCAACCAAACTCATCGACTTCTTAACAGATCTGAGAAGTCTACAAGGCCAACAGCAGCTACACCTGTTGCTATTTGTTAGACTAGAAAGGCACATAAGTCTTGGCTCCACATTCATGTATTTATATTGGAATACAACGTGGACGGAATGTAAGGCTGCAGATAGGCTTGAGAGAGAAACGAAGGGGACGCGCAGAGTGAAGCGGGGCTCTTAAGCAGAATTGGAAACGTTCGGGACTAAAAATGGTTTATAACCTTTCGCATGCTTCTTTTCGAAATCTCTCTCAATTTTTCACAGAAGCTGATCCGTTTCAAAGCCCATGCAAAAGTCTGAAAAGGGTCTCATTATTCTATTTCAGTGCCCTTATAATAATTGATGTATAGACATTGCGATGTCTCCAAAATAGTCCCAGTTACTAGATTTCCTCCCATAAGAAACATCTTATCCAATACTTTCTGATGATCACATATTTCACCTCGGTTTTTTAGAAAGGGTCCGTGTACGATCTTCAAGTCTTGAACTTTCACGCAGTCCCTATATCAAGATGAAATGTGTTAATCTCGGAGAATCTCTTCACATTTTGAGGCTTCCACCAAGTCAACCGCCTCACCAATATAGCAACCAATCCCGATCACGAAGAGAGAATGCATGCTCTGCGGCTCCAAGAGGGGCATCTAGGCCCACCTATAAGGAGGAAACTACCATTAACATTACCCTCTCAGCTTAAAATTAACAATATTGTCAGTTGTTATGGAACTACCGCCTATTAGAGAATGAAAACAATTGTTAAAGGAATGAGCTGGATGCCATGAAAAATGCATCTCCAAAACACACATAAGTTGATTAATTTGGCGCCTGAGGCTCGGAAACACGTGGAGGAAATTTGGGAAACTGAATGGGTGTGGCAGGGGACCTCAGTCTGTAGGGTGGGGATGTGTTAGTCAATCCGATTGCTTCGAGAATATCTTAGAAGTGATTCCGCCTTGCCAGACCTCAAAGATTAGCTAGTGATACACTTTATGCGAAAGAAAATCGAGTAGAGTGGATGAGCGCGGTGGGGTTTGTGTAGAACGGTAATGTAATTGAGAGTCACGCATTCGGTCACCACAGGTAGCATAGGATTCTTTTCGCTATCCCGACGTCCTCGACTTCTGCTTCAATGTTCTTTCTCTATACCTATATCCGGTTCATTCTGAACCTGCCATATTGCATATTACCAGACTCAAGTCTGCGGCACCTCGGCTTGATAACACACTCATTATAGTCCATACTCCCATCCAGATTGATACATCAACTCAAGTTTCGAGCTCCCTGGAGGACATCTAATCTCCACTTGATAATGCTGCGATGCGAATGAAAGATCATTTTTTGGGTTTTGCGGGATATCTCCCGGCTTCCAGTCGCCGCCATATGTACGTTTCAATTTCGCGCGCCACTACTCAGATTTCACAGTCGCAATTCATTATACTACTACAGGCAATGTACGATGAATTAACTGGCCTATCTATTCTGAAGTATTCAACGACCCAATAAGAACCCACGGAGCCAAAGTATAGTCATGTGGAACAATATCTAGTTACTTAAGAGCAATAAAGCGAAAGCGCCTTATTACTTGTAGAGTATAACTTAGAATATCCAGGTATAAGCTAGAGCCTTTGTAAAGCAATAGAGTTCAATCAGACATTGTACCCACCCTTGTCGGCAAGGAACTACAGAGTGTTTGGATGGAATGTACGTCTCTATTCCTTATATCTACTTCGTAAGATTTTTTCAGACTCTTTTTCCACACTCATACTAAAATCTCCGATTAACACAAGGCATCCAAAAGCTACAGCCCTCCACTGATACCCTAGGGTCGTAAGTATCCCTATAACAATGGCGGATAACAGAGAACAAGAGCATATCAATACCCCACCTGGCAGAAATCAAGACCAAGTCAATTTCTACTCTTTTTAAGCTCCTTGCCTGCTACTTAACGACACCACTAGCGACGGCGACACATTCTATAGGAGAAACCCATTCTGCTGAGGAGCACTCGAGCATGGGAAAACAGAGTTAGAGACAAGGAACAACAAGCTCAGAGTAGATATAGAGAGTTTAAAAAGCCGCTTCAACTGCATTGCGACGAGGGTAACTGCTGAAGTTGGGAGCATGCGCCTCTAACTGTTGCGTTCGAGGAAGGGAGGAACGGTAAGGACCGTAGAGAAGGAGGGGGACGCAAGCAGAAAGTGCACATAATGAAGTTTGGAGAATTAAGTGCTTTATAATGTAGTCGGGCAGAAAAGGGCGGTGGACCAGTTATGCAACGCGGAGGAGGGTACAGTGGATAGAATTGGGGTACGGTTTTCTTTCGTAATCCGAAAAATTTTGCCTACAGGCGTTAAGATGTATAGTACCTGCTCATATGCGATGAGCTCACGCCGTTACAGAATAATCTGTACTCAAGGATGGCTGCTGCCGTTTTGTAATATTCTTTCTTTTCTTAGATCATGAGTAGATGCTTTTCGCTGTATATTAAGAGACATAATACCCTTTTGGCGCTTTTCAGCAAATCCCTGGCTGCTTGGAATACGTCCGGCTTTAGAGATAAAGCTTTTAAGTGCTTTCCGATTCTACGAACTGCCGTCATGTTCTTTTAAAAGCCTAACAAGATGAAAATTTTTGTAGATATACCAACCATAGTTTATCCTAAGCCACCCTCGACATATAAAAATGTTGAAGGGGCCATATCTTGCCGTCTAAGGTAAATAAAGATTCGGAGAAGAGCGCTTATAGATTCTTCCTTGCCTAATACTAGTTAAGACTTCTCTTTAACTAGATTAATAGGTAAACCGTAGTATTCAGTGTTTTTGAGAATATGTGTGGAAATTAGAGTGCGCCGGCTAACGAATACTTCAGTTCACTTGTGATGTCTCGTATCCTTAAGAGGTGTTGAATATCTCTTCGAAAGTGAAATAATAATAATAATAATAATAATAATTCAATTTAACGTGCTACCTGGTTCCCAATCGGGTCTATGAACACGTAATATCAAATGCTTAGAGCAAAGCAAACCCGACTCTAGAGGAATGTCCCTCTGAATTCCAAAATCTTTGCCTTTTCCCCACCTTCAAACATTCCAATATAGCTATGATGAGTTTTGTCACCAGCTAATAGTGGTTCTCGAAAGTGAAATAAAGAGACACGCATGAAACTAAATAGTGGCAAAAGATCTCTAGGAATATATCTTTAGGAGATGACTATGCCGGAATTCCCTATAATCCTAAATAGCATTTAGCCAACGTTGTATACGTCAGATTAAGAGATTTTATGCATATCAAGCAATTGGAACTTCACACGTGCGTACCAGTTGACTAATCTCAAAGGTGAGAGAAAAATCAGACAACAACCAGCTTGAACGTAATCTAGAAGAAGTAAGCGGTTCTGGTTCTGGTATTAACACCGACTTCATCACTACTCTATGCTATTCGGACGTAACTATTGCACCCTTTGCTTTTCTATCCCCCTTCCGCTAACAATTCCAGTATATTAAAGCTCGTCCGAACACTAAAAGATAAAACAAGGGTTTTGACAACATGCGAAAGCCCTAGGCATGCTAGAATCAAAGGTGGTAAAAATAATAGCCGACTGCCGGAGACAAAATAGAGAATAGACCGAAGCTATATAGTCAGGAAAACCGGGTTCTGAAAGTAAAGCTAAGAAATAAGGGGAGATATGAAGACTGGGACTTTCCTAGACAATGCAATGGAAAAGCTGTTTTAGCAAAAAGTTTCAAAAGGTTTTTGGCACGAATAGCGATAACCAAAAACATAGGAATAAAAACTATTAAGTCGAGCGGAATCGCTGTCTTGGGCAAAAATTAAACCAAAGCAAAAAAAAATTGATGCTACGAGAGGGGAGGATCGAACTCCCGACCTTCTGCGCTCAACATTGGAGGGAATGTAAAGCAGACATCATAACCACTAGACTACTCTCGCTGAGTAATGATAATAACAATGCCCCGAATTTTACACTAAGAGCTTCCCAGTACAACTCAATTGCGGCAAAAGCAAGGCAAAATCTGGGAAGTAAAACAAAAAAGTAATGGGTCTTGCCGCGACTCGAACGCGGGGCCTCTCGCAAGTTAACTCAGGGTGTACCCTAAGCGAGAATCTATTATATTGTTAATTGTTGAATTAGACAGGTTGGGTGTTGTGCATTGCTAACTTACCATACCACTAGACCACAAGACCGAACCTGAACTAGGTTGTGCTGTTTGATAGAAATGATTCTCTACAAATTTATATATAAAAATAAGACAGTGAAGTGGGGACAGTGCAGAAGTCGGTTCATCGTGGGTTTAGAGCAAAGGGCGGCACGAACACGGCTATATCTACACCGCACAAATATGGATCCATGAATGGGGGCATAAGCCATAGCCCCAAACGGTGAACATCAAAGAGACAACACATGAGACAATAATGGCAAAAGCAATGTTCATTCTTTCCCCCCAAGGTATCTATAAATGACGGAGAAATCCTTCCCCTTGCAGTTGGGATCAGCCTCAGCAGCGTCATAGATCTGTTTTGCCCGATCACCCAGAGCAAGGTTCACACCAGACTCCTTCGCCGCTTGAATAGCGAGCTTTAAATCTTTGTTGGCTAGACCAACGCCAAAGCCGCCCTCATAACCCCGGCTAGCCGGTGAACCTTCGATAACACCAGGCACAGGATTGTTGACCTCGCTCGGCCAACACTTGCCAGTGCTGATGTTAATCATATTGGCAAGTGCTTTAGGGTCAAGGCCCCATTTGATACCCATACTCATGGCCTCAGCAGTGGCGATGTTGTTAAGTGCCAAAAGATAGTTGTTGGCGAGTTTACCATGAAGACCAGAGCCCTGCTCACCGAGATGCAAGACCCGTCGTCCCATCATGGAGAGGATTTCAGTCGCGCGCTCTACGACATCGGGAGCAGCACCAATCATGAAAGTGAGAGTGCCAGCTTGGGCTCCGACGACACCGCCAGACATTGGAGCATCAATGAATCTGCCCTGCTCTGTGGAATCGGCAAGCTTGGCCACTGACTGCGAAGTCATTGGGTCGATGGTTGAGCAGTCGATAAACAGACGCTTTTGTGGAGTGCCATTCTTCAGGAGGGTGGCTGGCTCTAACATCTGCTGGTAAACACTCTCCACATGTTTGGGTTCCGGCAGAACAGTTATGACTATTTCCTTTGAATCGTTAGCAGAGTTCACTGCAATATTTGTAGATAACAATGTGGGTTATAGTGGACGATATCAGAGGATTGGCTTAAATGTTGTGTAATCAGAATAAGAGCTACAAAACGTAGCCCCCAACTTAGATCATAGATAGAACAATGGTACTCATCATAAGAGGCAGTGATAATGGAGGCAATAAATAAAGTAGAAATACATACCGACTTCTCGGCTACCTCCCGAGGGTTCTCAGCAATGCGAACACCCTCTGGGTTCTCCTCGAGGAACTTGGCGGTTGCTTCTTTGTTGACATCTTGGATGAATAAGGTATCCTCACTCGGCAGCTTCGCTCGTAGGTTCTTTGCCATAGGAAACCCTGAGATAACGTAAGCCCAAGCTTCAGAGTCATGTGGGAGGATATTGGAACGTACCCATTCGGCCCAGACCTATGAAACCCCATGTGGCTTGATGGTTGTGGGAACTAGAGAAGCATCTCCTCGAACCCTGTCTCAGCACACCAGAACTCCACCACCGAAGAGACGTTATAGTCCGTATTGTCCGCATTGTGTCTGTCTTGAATTCGTGGGAGGGAGGGGGATGCAGGTCCGGATGTGCTGCTTGAAACGCATCTCCGCAGTCGATCACCCAGAACCGAGGTCATGCGAGGAAAGCCGCTCCAAGAGCCGCAGGCGGTAAAGCGCGCCTTAGGCACTGCCAAAAACGGTTCCCATGCCTGGAGAGAGGAGGTAGTAAAGGAATAATCAACCCAAAGGGTTGCATTTCTTCGTAAATTCACATAGTGATGTGTTGTTGAGAGAAATTGTAAGTGCGAGGTGTGCCGAAGAAATTTGAAGGAAAAGGTTTGCCGATCGGATTAGTCATCCCCATATCAAGCTGTGGCGTTATCGATACAGTGTTACCTAGTTATTAGCGTCTCGAGAAGAACATATAATGAATTCTTAGTTTACTTTGCTCTAAACATTGATTCTACGTGTTCATAGACCCGATTGGGAAACAGGTAGCACGTTTAACTGAATTATATATAATGAATTCTTAGCTATGAAATGCTGCTAACCTTGGAATTCTTTTTACGCCCAGTCATGCAGCGGGCATTATGCTCTATTTGAACTGAAGCAGCGTGATGGTGTATCTGCTGCCATTCCTTCATCTTTCTACCTCACGCGGCTTGCCCTTCATCTTTCCACCTCCAGCTCGTCCTGCTTATGGTTCAACATCAGCTGTCGTGTCTTCTTTCCCGCCGCATCCGCATATTCTTGAGTCACTCTTTTTTTTCAACTGACTTGTTCATCCTCTATCAATACATCCTGTTTTCTTCCATATATCAGTGTCTACCCTATACCTAAAGAAGACAATTATATGGACTCTGCATATAGGAACACTACGATTGGGAACGAGATGTGTTTTTCTGGCTTAATGGGAAAATAAGTGTATACGGTCTTTCGCATAGCGTTTGTGTATAACATTAATCAACATGAGACTAGTTACAGCTAGAGGTGATTATCAAATTGTGTCTGCTTATAACACTCTTACTAATTAAGGCCTACCCAAGCTTTCCCCTCTAACCGGCATAGAGCCCCTAAGTTTCCTTTTCGGTCATATTCGAGGCTTCTTTCTCTATCGCAAGCACTACTGGCGAAAAATCGAGAGCGAGAGCGAGAGCTACGCTGGACAGATTATAACCATAACTGCTGATAACAGAAAACACTGTACCCAAGGCTGAAGAAACAGGTTGGTCTTTAGAGCTGTAGTATAACATAGCCTAATATGATCAGACGCCGATACGTCTTCGGAATATGAGGACAGATCTTTGAATGCTATTTCGATAGGCAAACAGGAGCTCGAATTGGGCAGATTATCTCTTAGGTGGAGCCCGGCGGCGCCATTCAGCAGAGTGCAGCACATTAACAGTTCCACCGCCTCCGCCTCAACCTCCGTAGCAAACAAATAATCGACCGCTGTCTACACATAACGTGGCACTATTGGCTGAAGTAGAAGCAGCCTGCAACGTGGAATCTCAAGATTGATACACCTTCCACCGGACTGCTCGAGGCAATGCCCACCTACTGGCGGCGGTTAAGCATGGGACTTGTCCATGCACATCTTCAGTTGGGCGTAATGGAATCTAAGTTTCGCTGCATTCCACAGCTAAGAATTCTTTATATGGCCTTCTCGAGACATATAGTGCCCGCTCCTTTTCCATGTTCTCGAAACTTCATAGGGTAAAAGTAGTGGCCGTTGTACAAGTGGAACTATCACAGATTCGAACATGATTGGCTGTATTCCAATAAGATTGGACGTACAGAGATAATTGTTAGGTAACGTTATCACTAAATGTTTGCTCTTTCGCCCATAAATTTAAAATGGATAGATCTGTCGCTGGTCTAACGCCAAAGCCTTACTTCAACCTCCTTATGGCTCGACAACTATCTCGAATACAGCAAGGCTAAGGGCATTCTGCTGACTTCAAGCTTTGCAGCGGGAATATAGACCTAGATAACATCAAATCCTATCAGGCTATTCGAACGCTCCCAAAGAAAGGGAGCCTTGAACATGAGACTCCTATTCTCGAAGACGCTCGCATAGGACGTATTCGTATTGGCACATTCAGCTCCTCATGCATTCATCGTACAAGAAAACTCCCAGGTCTTTATCTAGTCCGCCATCGCTGCGCCCAGATGATCCGCACGCCTGTTTATAGAGCTTACTGGCCGTGGAATTCCCCTTGATAGTAGCACAAGGTGGAATAGCTGGTATTAGATGTTGAGAGTAGCGATTGAGAAAGCATCGGAGATTGATTCATATTCAAAGTTACATATAAGAGCTCTCAAAGACGAGTATCTTTCTCCCCAAGGTACGTTAACTGAGCGAGAGATTGGCCAGCGTGTTTAACCGAAGGAGCAGAGCGCCAAATAGGGAAAGTCGAAACTGAGACATGGACATGAGCGCATAAATACCATCGGCAAGTTCGGAGCAGGGAAGACGGCTTATGAGGCTATGCATGTTGGTATTGGCTTCAGAACAGGTAAGGAGATTCACCCTTCATGAGAGAAGAGAGTGAGTGAGCTTCTATAGAGAAGGGAGGAGCAAGAAAGTGAGAGAATGAAAAGAGGGTAGGCCACCAAACGCTTGTAAATGCAGGTCTAGAAGCATCTCAGCAGATTCAGCAGCAGTAATTGCCAGGAGGTTGAAAGCTGGATTAAAATGAAATACCATAGACGAGGAGAGGCAGTGCAATATTGGACGGCGACGGAGACTTAAAAATTGCCTTACAGGGGTTTGTTTAGAGGCGGGGGGGAATGAGGTATGTAGATGGAAGTATGAGAGTAGAGAGAAAAACATTGAGGAAAGGAAGAAAAGAGACGGTAAAAGGAGGGCTTTTTATGGTCGAGGTCAAGGTCGATTGCCGGTTCGAGCGTAGCGCGAACACTACAAGCGAGGCCTGAATAAGGAGCCTCCATTTCCTGATGCAGGAATACCGTCTGATTGTTTACTTTTTAAATCGATAATCTAGATAGAGAAAGAATCTCTAGAAGTAACCGAAAGAAGAATAAGAAACAAAAAGAGTATCTAGTATTTTAGAAATCTAGGTATACTTTCTTGGACAGGCTAGTTATCTTCTAAGGGTCTTTCTATGTATCTAAATATTTAACAGTTATAATTCAATTTAACGTGCTACCTGGTTCTCAAGCGAGCCTATGAACACGCAATATCATTGTTTAGAGCAAAAGTAAACCCGACTCTAGAGGAGTGTCCCTATAGAATCCAAATTCTTTGCCTTTCCTCGTCCTACACCATTCCAATCTAGCTATGAAGCTGTTTCACCAGCTAATAGTAGCTGTTGCACATATGTCAGTCCTGCCGCTCAGACAACAGAGTGGTTATTATGACACGGCTTGGGTTAGTTGGAAGGGGTCCCAGCCCCCTATGCTCTCTTTTGCGATAGCCCTTGCAACTTGGTATCTAAATGCTTAGATACTTTCTCTAACTAGCTCTCTCTATCTTCATGTATAGAAAA